AGATCTAAAAGATCAGATCAAAAAATGGGATAACTTAATACTTTCATGGATGGGTAGATTAAACACAATAAAGGCATATTTGATGCCAAAACCTGAATATCTATTTCGTACAATTCCAATAAGAGTATCAAACAAAATTTTGAAAATGTTTGACAAATTATTTTATTCTTTTGTATAGTGAGCTAAAAAAACAAGAATCAATAGAAAAATACTGATGACACACCTAAGAGAGGGAGGATTATCATTTCCCAACATTCAGTTAATTCATAATTCAGTAATGTTTTCACATTTCTTGGAATGGGGTAATGAAAAATCTAGAGACAAAACATGGTACAAGATAGAGAAAGAACAGTGTGTAGGAATTGATCCCTTCCTTTTTTTTTTTTTGGCTGGACAACAAAATGTTCATAAATTTAAGAATCGATAATTGGATAATATTCCAAATGTTTAAATCAATTGATGCAATAAAAAAAAACCTATTCTTTAGTTTGCTCATAATGAAATGCTCTCTAAAGCTCCTTTAGGAATGACTAAACTATTTATAAGAGACCTAGATTTAACCGAGTGGTTAAGAAAGACTATCGTAAAAATTTGCCAACTAGGATCTAATATTTTTCCTAATACTTTTTATGAACTCCAACAGAAATACAATCTGTCTAATGCAGTGTTTCCCAACCCAGTCCTCAAGGCACAACTACCAGTCCAGGATTTAGGGATTACCCAGTTGTGTCTAAGGTGTTTTTTTTCTTCTTTGTAAAAACACCTTAGACACACCCTGTAATCCCTAAATCCTGGACTGGTAGGTGTGCCTTGAGGACTGGGTTGGGAAACACTGGTCTAATGAAGAAATATTTACATACTTAAGATTTGTCAACTTTCTTAATCAATCCAGATAATAGATCAGTCTCCTTTGGATACGCTCTTGTATGGATTGCAACCTTTAATATCATCCAAAATCAGACAGATCATTAATAAATCAACCCCAGAAATAAAAATGAATACTATCCTAAAATGGGAAGAAGACCTAGATTTTACCATCCCTTACCACTTATGGACAGAGTCTATAGACTATCTCAAAAAGTCTGTATATTGTATAAATATCTTATATATATATATATATATATATATGTGTGTGTGTGTGTATGTATATATATATATATATATATATATTCTAAATAGATGGTAATTAGTCCCTTCCAGACTATGTAAATTTAAGCCTCAATATACGAATCTTTGTTGGAGATGTCATGGGGAAGTGGGTACTCTAAAACATATATGGTGGGACTGCTCAAACTTAAATTCTATAAAAGACTTTCTACTACACCTTTCTAAAGAATTAGTCAGATTTGACTATTGAGAACTTCCTTTTCCATATAAATATTAAAGGTCTAAGGAAATATGAAAAATACCTAATGATAAACGTACTAATGGCAATAAAGATTTGTCCCCCCTCGATAGATGGTATGTAAGGCATATTATACCCATGTTTTAATGCCTATTTTGTATTTTTATGTGTGTATGATTCTGTGTAACCTTTAAGACAATGAGAAGCATAATAAGAATGACTATTACAATCCCTCCATTGGGGCCGCCACCATGTGTTGCGGCCCCAGCCTGCGCAGAGTAAGCGCGCGGGTGGGGGCCCACGGATCAGTTTTTGCACCGGGGCCCCATGGGTTGTGTGTACACCACTGGTCAATGTGCATAACTATTCACCCCCCTAAAGTCAATACTTTGTAGTGCCACCTTTTGCGGCAATCACAGCTCCAAGTCACTTTGGATAAGTCTCTATGAGCTTGCCACATCTTACCACTGGGATTTTTGCCCATTCCTCCTTGCAAAACTTCTCCAGCTCCTTCAAGTTGGATGGTTTGTGCTTGTGAACAGCAATCTTTAAGTCTGATCACAGATTTTCTATTGGATTGAGGTCTGGGCTTTGACCAGTCCATTCCAAGACATTTACATGTTTCCCCTTAAACCACTTGTGGCAAGCATAGCCACTTGGACAATATCCAGAGACTGTACCTTTAAGGGTTGCCTGTATGTCGGTGGAAATATGTGTTTAACTACGTATAATGTATGCTGGCTGTAATGATGTGTAATTACTGTATTGGTTATCTGCCGAATGCAGATAGCTGTATGTGCTGTATTTTCTTTCGTTTCACGAACGGCACTTTTGCGGGCCGTTCGTGAACCGAAAATACCCCCATGTAGTAGCCCACACACTTAGAGGCGTGTGGCGCTTGTTAACCGATCGCAACAATGTTGCAATCGGTAATTAGAGGCTCTCCTAGGTGGCCGCCGTTCGACTACCGACCATGCGGTGGTCAGCCCTTTTGGATCCTTTGTTCCCTCAGCGGTGTTTGGTCGTCGAGCGCATGGTACTAAAAACGGCTACGCGATGGCCCGAACACCGCTGAGCTTCCAGGCCGTTCGGGAGTTCCGGGCCGTTTGGTATTTGGTTCCCTAGAATGCAATCGGTATTTTGAACATGTATTTTAATGAATGTGCTTTTCGTGTGGCGTTCGGTTGTTTTAGCTGGGATCTGAGTGGTAATCTCACGAAGGATGCGCTCAGACCCCAGCTATCTACCGAACGTCCATTCGTTTAAATAGACTGCATATTCGAAAAGTTATGGATTTTAATATAAATTGTCGGTTCTGCTGCACGGAGGGATAATCCACTTAACGGTAAATTCCTGTGGGAGGATCCCTCTCGTGCAGCAGTGCCTGATGGGAGAAATGTCTTGTACAGTAAGTTCCCCATGTAGTCCACTCTGGGAATGCCCCTGGGAGGGGACTCAGGAAACCCCTTGCATGGGGACTTGTATAAATTGTGGAGCTAAAAATAAAGACCTAAGTTGACTCTCAGAACTGTGTTTCGTCCGGTTACAGGGAGATTTGGGATATTGCTTTGCTTTTTCCAGCGCTTGACTGTGGATTACTTCCTGAACCAGCGGAGTTCGTGGATTTAATATTGGTGTTCCGCTACACCACTCAAGTTTTGCTTTAGCAGTGTGTTTGGGATCATTGTCCTGCTGGAAGGTGAACTTCCGTCCTAGCCTCAAATCATGCACAGAGTGGTACAGGTTTTGCTCAAGAATATCTCTGTATTTAGCACCACCCATCTTTCCCTCAACTCTGACCAGTTTCCCAGTCCCGACTGCTGAAAAACATCCACACAGCATGATGCTGTCACCACCATGTTTCACTGTGGGGATGGTGTTCTTTGGGTGATGTGATGTGTTGGGTTTGCGCCAGACATAGCATTTTCTTTGCTGGCCGAAAAGTTCAATTTTAGTCTAATCAGACCAGAGCACCTTCCTCCATACATTTTGGGAGTTTACCACATGCCTTTTCGCAAACTCAAAACGTGCCATTTTGTTTTTTTGCTGAAAGTAATGGCTTTCTTCTGGCCACTCTGCCATAAAGCCCAACTCTATGAACCGTACGGCCTATTGTCGTCCTATGTACAGATACTCCAGTCTCTGCTGTGGAACTCTGCAGCTCCTACAGGGTTACCTTAGGTGTCTGTGCTGCCTCTCTGATTAATGCCCTCCTTGCCTGGTCGTGAGTTTTGGTGGGGGGCCGTCTCTTGGCAGGTTTTCTCTTGTGCCATGTTCTTTCCATTTGGTTATGATAGATTTGATGGTGCTCCTGGGGATCATCAGAGATTTGGATATTTTTTTATAACCTAACCCTGACTTGTACTTCTCAACAACATTGTCCCTTACTTGTTTGGAGAGTTCCTTGGTCTTCATGGCATTGTTTGGTTAGTGGTGCTTCTTGCTTAGGTGTGTATATGTAATGACAGATCATGTGACACTTAGATTGCACACAGGTGGACATCATTTCACTAATTTTGTGACTTCTAAAGGTAATTGGTTGCACCAGAGCTTTTTATGGGCTTCATAATAAAGGGGGTGAATACATACGCACATGCCAATTTTCTGTTTTCTATTTCTAAAAAATAGTTGTTTTTTTTGTTTTTTTTTTATAATTCTTTATTTTTGTAGTGCTTTGCAAGTTTCACATATAAACACAGACAGTGCAAGGGTATCACAGAAAGTATTCGTTGGTAGAGTACATGACATGTCTGAACAAATGCACCTTTTTTGGGTTATAATATCAAGATATTACATAGGGTAGCGTAAGTAATGATAGATTGCTAATCACAGGCCAAACATGCTGAGAGAGAGGTATTAGGATTTATGCAGGCTTAAGTAATGCAAGAGGGAGTAAGTTGCTTAGAATTCAAGAAAGATAAAATCAAACAGCATGGTATAAGCTTGTACATGTAAGTTAAACAAAATTTTGAACTGGGCTGGAGGTAAGTATCCTTAAGTTTTAAGTTTCTGCCAATGGTGACAATGTCCCTTGAGATATATAATGTGAGGACAGGACCACATGCCCATTGAATTAGTCCCTGTCAGCCTATGCCCACTCGGTGTGCATAACTGTCCAGCATGGATGTGACTTGCCAGGGGGTGACACACTTGCTTGGTGAGGAGATGTCTGCCACTGATAGCATGAGGGGCGGCTCAGAGGTGGTTGTGGTGGTCTCTTGATGCAGCTTAGAGCAAACGCTGGTATAGTAGGATTAGCCATTCCACGGCAGTGGCGGTCAGGACATCGGTCCACACCTCGGTATCTTAGGTGGTAGCACGGCTTGCACGCATTGCAGACCTAATGTGTTTTCCGGCGGTGGTATATGCTGTCTGCAGTTCTGCAGATGGAGCTGCTTGGAGGTAGGCAAAGTTGGTTGCGTCGCCGCCATTTTGGCACCCTGGCGTGGGATGCACTGCAGGCTCGATGGGCCGGTATTAGGCAGTAGTTCCCTCCAATGTGGACCGGGATAACCCCCCCGGTCCGTGGGGGGGGGGGAGCAGGGCCCGTAAGACATGTCACTAGGCTGCTGCACGGCTGCCAGGTTCTGAAACAGGACGGCGGCCGTCCGCCCCGTTCTACACCCACATGGGCCGCAGGCCCCGAAGCCTCGCATCACCCCATGGGCGTGCAAGACTCCCGATCTCGGGTCCGCAATGGCACCGTCAACCGCCTGGACACGGGAGGTATTAGCTTGACTCCGGGGCAGGCTGTAAACTTGGCATTTTCAGCGAAATAGGCCAAATCCCACAGGAGCCCCTCCAGCCTGCGACCGGTCAGCATGGCGGTCGGGCCCCGCCCACCCTAAAAAATAGTTTTATGTATATATTTGTTCTCATTTCACTTCACCGACTTAGACTATTGTGTTCTGATCCATCACATAAAATTCAGATTAATAAAACATTGAACTTAAGGCTGTAATGTAACAAAATAGGTAAAAAGTCAAGGTGGGGTGAATACTTTTTTGCAAGACACTGTATGTGTTGGTACAATAAATTGGAGAGATGCAAATTGCAGTTGAACACAAACAGCAAAAATGTAAAAATTGCTTCTGTCTGTAAGGGTAAGACAAGCTTTTGAAGCTGTGTACTTAAGGAGTACTTAAGGAGTATGATGGGTTTGTTTTTGTTATAAAATCGAATGAGATAATGAACGTATATTGTGTAAATGAGCACACCTATTTAGCCCTGAGAGGAGGCAACAGATTAAGGGAAGGGAATAATCCTGGATCTTTAAACTAGGTAGCTTCTGGAACAGATCCTTAATAAAGTTCTAGATTTAGCAGCTTTTTGATCTAATGATACATTTTATAGTATATTATCTATCTATTTTTTTATTATTTTTTTAGTTTTCTTTATTATTATTCACCATTTTACTCTTCTTCCATATTTACTCTTATTTGTATTATCATTTTATATTATATTTTTATTTTTAGTTTCTTTTTTTCTTTTAATATATTTTTTCATTTGTATTATGTATTTTTGCTGCATAGGTGTTATTCCCTTTCCAATACCTAGGGATTGTGTGAAATATTACACTCTCTATGTATATCTCCTTCTGAGATATATAACATTACAAGATATTATTAATGGAGCTTGTGTTATCTAAAATAGCATTTTGAAAGGGCTTTTTTAACAATATTAAAGGGACACTGCAGTCACCAGAACAACTAAAGCTTATTGAATTTGTTCTGGTGAGTAGAATAATTCCCTTCAGGCTTTTTGCTGTAAACACTGTCTTTTCAGAGAAAATGCAGTGTTTACATTACAGCCTAGTGATAACTTCACTGGCCACTCCTTAGATGGCTCTTAGAGATCCTTCCTGGGTCATGGCTACCGAAAATGCATCCAAACATTCAGTGTCTCCTCCCTCTGCATGCAGACAGTGAACTTTCCCTCATAGAGATTCATTGATTCAATTAATCTCTATGAGCAGTTGCTGATTGGCCAGGGCTGTATTTGAATAATGCTGGCTCTGCCCCTGATCTTCCTCTTTCTCAGTGTCAGCCAATCCTACAGGGATGCATAGTGATTGGATGAGGCCACCACTTGTGATGATGTCAGCAGACAGGTTTTGACTATTGACTATTCCGAGTCAAACAGCATGCAGAGCTACAGCTTCAGGCTTGAATAAAAGTAAGATTTTGCTATTTTCAGGGAGGCATGAGGGGACAATGGGGGCTAGCGATTAACACTATAAGGTCAGGAATACATGTTTGTGTTCCTGACCCTATAGTGATCCTTTAATCATTTTAAAACAACACTATATAGTGTCAGATAAGGTGTATAAGCACTCCACATGCACCAGCAATAAATAGTGTACAAACAGTTGCATATACAAACAGAACAAGAGTGAAAAGAGAGGCACATAAACTACGATCATAAAAATTATTTTTGTTTGACATTATCCTCCTATATGTTCCAGGGGTAAGTTAATGATTCTGTTGTGTTTGATGGCAATCTGAGGTTCATCTCATAGCACTTATTTTCTAAGGCCAGTGTTAATACCTCTTTAATAGCAGGAACTACATCAGATCTCCAATAACATGGTATTACCATAGTGGTCGCTATCAAGACATGGCCTACCATTATCTTATCCACTTTGGTAAAGTTTTCAGGAAATTACTTGCATAAACATGTTCTAGAGTCAAAGTCACAACAGAAGGAGTGATATCCTTCATAATAGGTGCCTATTTGCCCACAGCCATCCCAGCAGAGATTTGTAGAATCAGGGTATATTTTCTGGAGCCTGGATGGAGTCAGATATCACTGATATAAAACTTTATAGTGGTTCTCCAACTGAGCCGAACACTGGGTGATACCTTTCAAATTTAAAGAAACAGCCAACCAGTCATCCAGCGATATTTCTCTCTGGAGATCCCTTTCCCATGCGACTATGTAATCCAATTTGGTTTGGGGCCTATCATTAATATAGAAATAGCATAATAACATAGTACGTTTCCTTCCCCGGTTATCAATATAATATTTTTCTATTTGGGATTTCTCTAAATGAGTACATTTTTGGTCAAGTATTGGGATTTCAAATATCTCACTTAATATGGTAACTACAAACTCATATTTAGTGACATCTGAATCTTCTAAATCATGTTTTAATCTAAATTTGTCAAATGGTAACAATGAATTATTTGAGAAAAAATTGTGGAGAGAGGGACCCAAAGAAATCAAGAACAACCCCAGGAGTATCATATTTTAAAATTGACACTGGCATGGCCCCGGACCACAAAACCTTTATCTGCCTAAGCATTATATCCCTTTAATGTTGCCATGGTTGTGGGAAGAATTTTCCTGATTTTAGGGTGCAAATTATGAGGTACCCATAACAGCTATTTAATCGAATATGGAAGAAACTTTTCTTTTTCAATTAACAACCACTGAGGTAGATCGGCAGCTCTAAGGCCTGTGCGGCATTCGTTACAAAAGAATAACTTTGAAAATCAGGTACACCAAAACCACCATTCACTCTGAGATGTTGCAGTATAGACAATTTGATCCTAGTAGGCTTTCCTGACCAAATATATGTTATTATAGTCGAATTAAGTTTCTTAAAAAATGAAAGATGGGTGGAAAGTGGGATGGCCCTTAAAAAGTATAGTATTTTTGGGAGAATATACATCTTTAATTAATGTGTTTTACCCAGCCATGATATCTCCAGCTCCCTCCATCTGTCCACCTCCTTCTGTAGTTCCTGCCAGACATTTGCCCGGTTAAATGCATGCATGTTCGACAGGTTTTTGGTTAAACTAATGCCCAAGTAAGCCACATGTGATACCCTCCACTCAAAATTGAAGGCATCCCTCAGACCATCCATGACAGGCCGTGGAACATAAAAGAGCAAAGCCTGTGTCTTAGTTTCATTGAGTTTATAATAGGAAACATCCCAAACTGTTTTAATATGTGCATTAAGGAATCAAGAGACGCAACTGGGTTCCCTAAAGACAAAATGATATCATCTGCAAAGAGCCCAATCTTATGAGTGACACCACCGATTACAACACCCTCTATCTTTGGGTCATTTCCTAATTATGAAGAAAGACAGACTTAGCGAGAGGAAGTCTGACAGTAAGTTTGTATTGGTTGTAGGGTAACCAGGGCATAACCCAAAATGAAGATGCAGAGAAAGATTAGACTTGGCTTGCAAAAAACAAGACCAATACTAATCCTATTACACTTGTTTGAATTAACTAAACAAGTATTAGGCTAGGTGCCTTGATTAAAAACACAAACTTTATTGAATCCCTATATAGGTACAGAAATCACACACAAAAAGATAATAAATGTAGTGAAAGTGTAAAAATAAATGTGCTTGAAAAACAAAAAAGTAAAGTTAATGTACTTGTTTAAAATAGGACCAACTGTCAGAACTTCAGTGGTAATTCTGAGATACACTAGCTAATAGACCCAATACAGTGTTGCAAAGAGTTGCAATAATCAAGGGTACAGAGCTGTGTCTAATTAGGAGGGCGAATTGGAATGGTTATCTGTGGCGGAACCAACCTCGCCACTATGCACTGGAGAAGCCTGGTTGCCAGCCTCCTGCCATGTGACTATGGCCCCTGGGATGTATTGCCCTTTAAAGACATGATTTGGGCATAATGGATTTGTGTTGTGCTGCTGCTAGCCCTTTTAAGAACCATCTGGGGACATACTGTGGAGTTACTGGGTGGCCACCATTTCCTGTATCAGAAGCACATGGTGAGAACAATGGATGGCGGCCATTTTAACTCACAGACACTGTGTGGACTTTTCAACACGGTGCCATCTCGCCAGTATTTGTTGCACAGAGACATCGTGCGGTGGTTTTGGACTATACAGCAGGGGACACATTATACAGTGATTGTTTTTTATTTAGCCTGTATATGTTCTGCAGAATCTGCATTAAACTGTATTTTCCAAAGTACTGAATGGATCTGGGTGAATTTTGGATATGTGGTTCACCCAGATCCCCCAGTTCCAAGGATATACTTTTTATGGGGTTATTGCATGTTTTGGGGTCCCTGTGATGTGTTTTATGAAACTGTATTTCTCTGGCTGTGATAATTAGATTACCCATTGTGTTCAGTAATCATATCACAGCCAGAGGGGAGGATTTTGTGTGGGAGTGTCTGGGTGTATTGTATGGATTGATTGGCTGTTTTGTAACGCCCTGTGGGCTGTACTATGTTTGTGGATTGGGAATAAAAGAGACTGTATGTGACAGTACAGGGAGTTCCTGCTTAACCCTCAAAGTGAAGTGTCGTCTCATTATTGGGGGAGGATTTATTGTATGCTGTTCCAGTTTGACTGCTAGGAGAGTAAACCTATTCGTATGGTTCCTATTCAACTGTCTACAGCATTCATATGCTTGAGAGGATTCATATGCTTCTCCGGTTCGGTGGTTGTGGTGTCTGCTGCAGTGCTTGGAGTCCTCAGGAAGCGCTAGGAGCATCCTTTAACGGAGGTACCCAGTCGGGGTGCCAGGCGATCCGTTACATTATCCATGAAGGGCAGTGTAATAAGAGGGCAGTGTAATAAGAGATATCAATTTAATCTGTGGTATAGTAAGTAAATAAAATGTAGAACTCTACCTCTTAATCTTGTTACTCAAAAGGGCACTTGTAAGTAGGAGGGTGGATAGAGTCTCTAGTAATGGCTATAACCGATATATGGGGCCAATTGAACGCAACAATTCCCAAATTAGTTGCAATTGGGGCACTAGCGATAAGAAAAGAAGGAGCCCCTATTGATATATCTCAGCCAATCCTGAACAAAATGCTGTTAAGAGAT